ACCCCCCCCCTCCCCAGGCGTAAGATTACATTTGAACGGCCCTTAAATACATTTGTACAGCGTCGCTGTATTCATTCTCATGTGTTGTTATAAGGCCTTGTAGAGTGGAATCATCCCCAAATTTTATAAGTTTGATGTTTTCGTTATTTTAAAAAAACAGTCGTTGGTGTAGAGTGTAAACAGACAGGGGAGATTACACAACCTTTGGGCGCACCGGTGTTTATGAAAATTAGGTCGGATTTTACACCATTTTATTTTACATATTGAGGTCGATTGGTTAACAACTCAAGAATGCAAGCTATAATGTTCTTTTTTATGTTCATGATAATTAATTTTGAAACCATTATGTGGGGTTGTATTGTGTTGAAAGCGGATCAAAAATCAGCAAAAGGTATTCTGCAGTAATGTTTTGGTGTGTCTATGTGTCTGGGGATGTTATCTAAGAACACGAGAATGGCATCCTCTACGCCCCTTTTGGCACGATAGGCAAATTGCATGTTATCCTGTATGTCTTCTGTTGATTTCCTTAGTTCTATCAGAAACAAAACAAAATTGTGAAATGGTATGGGTTTAACGCCCCTATCAACACTATTAGGTTATTTAAGGGGCGGGACCTCCTAGTTTAACGTCCGACTCCAATAGGACCGAGCCAAGTGGGAAGTTCGTGTAAAGTGCCTTTCCCAAGGACACAACGTCGGACCGAGCTGAGGCTCGAACCCCCGAACCCGCAATCTCTCGATTACGAATCCGGTAGCCTAACCACTAGACTACCGACACCACCCTTTCAGAACCAGTTCTTCTAAACATTTTATAAGAGCTGATGTTAAAACCACAGGTCGTAGGTCATTCAAATTTAGTACTGCTTGTTTCGTTGGGACAGAAGGGTCGGATGGTGTTGTAGTTGTCATGGAAACACCTGAGTCTTCTAGCGGGGCGGTGTTGTAGTTGGTCACGGAAACATCGGAGTCTCCTTCCTTAGCTCAGCCTACTGCCTGGGGATTTGTACACTTACAGATTGGGAGGGGGGGAGGCCTGTCATTACCCTATTTTAAAATATATTTTTGGTATTCATCAGCTTATACAGACAGACAGACAGACAGACAGACAGACAGACAGACAGACAGACAGACAGACA